TAATTTTTTTTTATTCTCAAACTATAACCTCATTTATACCATAAAAAAGATTTACTGTTAACAATTTTAAGAAATCAACAATGTTAGTTGTTAGAATCTCACTCTTTAAAAATGAAATTTTGAATATAACTCTTTTTTTATAGAAGATTTTGCACTTCTAACATTGAACCAAGTATTCAGTGATGGATCGATATGCATGAATAGGATGTTTATGGATACCTCAAAAATTAAAAGACAAAAAAAAAATACTCTGAACACCTGGAGATTTTTTTTAAAACACAATAATTATATATATATATATATTATAATTAGATATTCTAAAATAAATCCTGAATCCACAGTTGAAAATATTACTTGCAGGCGACAAACAACTTAGCCACAGCTATAACGTGAACCCCCAACAAACTTAACATCCAAGGGTTTGCAACTTCACTAGCTAATGCTTTTATCATGACCGTATGTTCATACTGTTCACATGTAGCAATTTATCTTAAACTCCTTCTCATTCTCCTTTCGGGGTTTGGGGCGGGGGCTTTAATAGAATGAATGTGGCTTACACCAAATTTTGTCAATCATATTTTTAGCCTTGATTAATTCGAGAACTGAGGAATAAATGAATCAAATTACTGAAGTGACCACTCATTTTTCCAAATATTCTAATCACTCTGTTTTGCCATTCACCTAAAATTAAGCATATATGATGCAACCAAAAAAAAGTTAGACAAGTTTTCCTCTCAATATATATTTCGAACCACACCAGACCAGACCAGATCAATCAAAATTTTAGAGGGGAAAAAAAAAAACAAATATAGTAAATGGCCCCTGCAAGTTTCAGTTTCTTGAGCTTGGCAATCTTGGTGATTGCTGGAACCCTTGTTTTCGGAGACCAAGGGGTGTCAGTTCAGTGCGAAACTAGCATTTCGAACCTTATTTCACAATGCTCCCGGTATGTGTGAAGTCCAGTGCCAAATGTCCCTCCCTCCAAGGGTTGCTGTGATCTGGTAAAAAATCTCGATATTCCATGCATTTGCAAGCTTGTTACGATGGAGGTGGAGAAGCTTGTTAGTATGGAGAAAGTGGTCTATGTAGCTCGATCCTGTGGCTTGACTGTCCAGCCTGGAATGAAATGTGGAAGTAAGATTTTATCATTACGTTATTCGAATATTTCCATGTTTCTGTTTTTAGTGTTTCTTAGATTATTTTTTTTCAATTATTTTTTTTTGTGTTGTTTGATTGTTTCAGGTTTCACTGCTCCGCCTGTTTGAGGCCTGGAAAAAATTATAATAATAATAATAAGAGAGAGAGAGAGCTGATCGATGAGAGTTGTAAACTTCATTAGAATAATTAATATGAGGAAGTGAAGTTTGTGATTATTGCATATATCCCATGTATGCTGGTTTTCAGAGTAGCTACGTAAAAGTTTCGGTTTTCTCAAAGTGGAACACAAAGAAGAATTTTTTTTTTTTTATTTTAAATTTTTTAAAATTGAAATGAATTTAATTAATTATCAATTTGATGCTAAGGCAGATAAGCAAAAGATAATTATAGACTGAGTTTTAAAACTAAAAGCACATTAATAATTTGTATTTTTTTTCTCAGCCAAAAAAAATTTTAACAAAAAACGTTGCTAGAAAACTAGCAACAAGCCAGCAACAGAGTAAAAACTCAAACTGTAAGTATAAATATGGAAAAGAAAAACCAATGAAAGCTAAAAATACAGAAATCAAATTAATAATTTGTGATTAAGTGCTTAAATGGAATGTTAATCATTAACACATTAACGGTTAATGTGTTGATTTGGTTGTAATTATTTACAATTAATGAATTTTTTTCTAATATGTGATGTAAACAAGTTAAGCACTAAAACATACTAAATTCTATCTTTTTGTGCCAATGATTTATTATTGATTTACGTTTACACTTGCTTGGATGATTATTGAATTAAAGATTGGTTACATTTAGTTTTTACAATTTAATTCAATTAATTCATAAAATTATCTTTAAAAAATAACATCTAATAAATTTAAAATTCATATCTCAAAACTTATAATTGTCCTTTTATTCTCTTTTGTGAAAATAAATGCCTATCGAAGCCCAACAAAATATCCACTAATGTAACCCATCGATTCATTTTTTCAGGCTAGCCAGAAGGTCCACCTTTCATGAGATACGTGTTGGAGATAGCCATGAAATGCTCAATGCAATAATTAGTGAATACGAACCCAAACAGTCTTTCGAGATTAGGAACGTGTGGAATGATCGAACCGTTGAGCAAAAAACAGGGCTCGTTGTCTGATGCCCACTTGACATACATAAACATGAAAATTACAAGACATAAAGTCAATAAATCGGACTATTTGTTTACAATTGAAAAGACTAAAACCAAGTAAGCAGTGAATCAAATTTGTTCATTTGGACGAGCATGCAAGGCCTAAGGAGAAATGCATAAAATTCCAAATATAACCAATAGGAAAACAGCCGATAGCGTTTCATCTAACTTGAAACAACGTAAAATATAGACGTGCCATTGTATAATTTCATTTTGACCTTAAACAAAATTACCTTTCAGCTAGCTCTCCCTTCGGTTTCAAAAGTATATATATATATATATTTTATAAAAAAAATTACAATTTGAAAATAAAAAAAAATTATGAATATTAAAATTTAAATTCTAAACACGTTGAATAACACGTTTTAATAGTGACAACTGAACTAAGCTTTTGGTTCCAAAAGTATCGTTGAAACCATACAGTGATGTAGGATTGCTAGGTCTAACCTGAAATCTAAAGGAAAACAGAGAAAATCAAGTTCAGAAAAGAGAAAAAGACAAGGTTGACTGCATAGACCTAGTGATCCTTCGTCAGCCCCACAGCGAAGATTTGTATCACATAATTAAATGAGCAAATAATGCTGGCTGGAAAATTCTTTGATAATATAATTGTGAACTTGTTGCATAATAGTCGTCATTCCGAAATGGATTGACGGACAAATATTAGCAGTTAACTACAAATGAACGAAATATTCCAATTCCAAGCAATGACATCGCCAGTTATATTATCAAAGATAAGCCAATTTTGTGAGATTAGGGGTATTGTTTGGATGCCTGAATTTCATAGAAAATTATAAGCCAAAAGCTGCATCATCAGCTAAGTGTTGTGGGGCTCTAAAGTTTAATGGTGGGATGACATGCACATGCAAGCTCGTCACCAAAATTGAGCAAAAGCTGGTTTATGTTGCAGGAGCATGTGGCCAACAACTCCTTCAATGGACCCATTGTAGAAGTAAGACTGTCTTTCGCTAGCCAAGACTAAGAATTATTTGATATTTGGATTTTTTTTTTTAATTTCGACAAAAAAAAAATTTGAACATGCTCTTTGAGTTGACAATATATACACTTATTTGCCAATATCAGTGTTTAACCGAATACCCAATGGAGTGGTTCTAATTTCAAATGTGGTAAGGAGTAGGTTGGATTTATTTTCATAGATTTTTATTAATTTATTTGCCAATTTACAGAACAATACTTTTTGTTTTAGGAAAACTTCATATTGCAATTGTAGATGTTAATGTCGGTGCAATTACAGAGGCTAATGTTGATGAGTATTTGTTTCATATAGATATTATAATTTATAACACAAAACGATAATATAATATAAAAACAATATAAAAAAAATATATAAATGTGACATAATTTAAAATTTTATAAAAATTATATATAAATTTAATAAAAATAAAAAATATATATGTACTTTTTGTCTCGATACATAATTATATGTAATTTTCATATAAAATATAATATATATATAAATTATCAATATTTTAAACAATATAAATATATAAATTATGGGATTTAATTTTAGGTTGTAAAGTTCCCCGTGGCATAAAACTGAGATAAGCAAGAGAGGCTTGCAACTAACCTCTCAAAGAGAAAAATATCAACTGCTACAATCGATAATCCGATTACTAAACCATCTGAAATGAGAAGGAACAGCGGTAGTAAAATAGTGAGAAAACAGGCAATTCTAAGAAAACACCAAACGTTGTACTTTGTTTAAAGTTTACGGTACCATAACATCGTACTTTGTTAATGGACCACACGAAGTCACTATGGATACTAAAAGAGTTCCCTGCCTACCAGGGTAACCCCCCATGAGATTAGAGTTTAACAGAGTGCAACAAGGAATGAGAGGGGCTACTTTTTACTGCCATTGGAAACATCAAGACTCAGAAACATAGTCTGACACCATAACTCAGTTCCAAAGTATAGGTGCCAATCTTAACTTCGATTCAATAAGATGAAGTTGGAATCATGGTATGTAAGAGGATTATATATATATATATATATATATATACACATAGTAGGAATTCAGAAACAGACATGAACTGGTAAAAAAAAAAAAAAAGAAAATAATTTCGATGAAGCACTAAAGCACTAGGCGAACAACTGATGTAATTGGCATAGAATGCTTGGAGAGGAAAGCGAAATGGAATCAGTTTCCAGAAGAGATTAGGAGCAGGATTGGCGGGTTTATATTGCATAGAAATAATTCAGAAAACAGTGTGTAGTTTCAAGCATCTTGGTTGACTTATCTGTTTAAATTTGTGATCTGTCATCAATCTCTCATTTAATCAAGAGAGAGAGAAACATAGAGAGCAAGATAACTAATCGTACAATGCACTCCAAAGTAGAGCTTTAAACCAGAACACACTGCCTTCCGCTTCTTGGCCTACTGGCAAAGATGCCTTTAACAAGGAATGAAAGCTTGGGTTCGAAACTAGCCAACCCCTCCCCCATCCCCAAGTCCTGTAGACCAAAAAAAAAAAAACACTACACGCCAGATATCAGTATTGAGTTTCTTTAGATGAAAAACAAAATGGAAAATTACCAGGGGAATTTCACATAAGACTAGGGAGCATATGGGTAGTTTTTCTAATCATTCTAAAAGTAAGCACTAAAAGATGAACGGAATCCTTTGGTTTTAATTAATAAAAGTAAAGTAAAAAACTTAGATACCAGGAAATTAAATGTTGCCATAGTTTACTTCCTACACCTCCAAGCTGATATTGAAAACAGTGATCCATCTTGCCAGCAAATTACTACGCATCCATTCTCTTCCTTCATTTTATACCCATCACAGTTATAACCCTGCAGCAATCTCCTCGCCTGCAACATGCCATAGTAACTCAAAGGAACGTTTCCAAAGCTGGCCAAATCAAGCCTTTGAATCCACTTCTCAAGCTTTTCATGTCTCTCCTTCCTCTCAGCTCCCTCACAGGCTATTATGTTCTTTATTTCCTCTCCAAACAGCATCTTTTCCACTTTAAGTCTCTCCAAAGATGCTTTTGAGACGGTAGACTCCAAACAATCAAACAATGCTGCATAGAAGTAAAGAGATTCTAATAACCTCTCCATTAGAGTAGATCCATTATGATTAGAATCTTGTTCTGTTACCACCATGAGTTTAGGTGACAAACCCCACAATGCATTAAGAAAGCTATCTGCCTTCACTGAAGCAGTTGACCATAGCGGTGAGGATGAGGCTGAATCAGGGCTAGGGCTACATCCATTAACCATATCTTTTTCAAGCAACTCTCCTAAAGTGCTCTGGTTCAATTGAAGGGCTCTTTGCAAGTGAATTCCATCCAAATTCTTTGATGCTAATGGTGATTTCTTCCGAAGGAGTTCATCATCAGAAGCCAAAAGCAAGTGCAGTTGGAGAACAGAGCTGATTGCCAGAGCCTCCCCTGTTTTAACACGCAATTTCTCAGTGTCAAGATTCTCTAATTTGCTAACAATGGGATTAAACTGGAACGGAATGTCTAATTTCTCAGCTTGTTCAGTCAATCTATGAGCCATTTGATCCAAGACTTCTTTCTGTTGATGAATCCCAGTAATTCTCAAATGAGGTGGCCCTTCTGGCCTTGCACTCAATGCTTGAATAAGTGCAATCCACTGTGAGGGTTCAGCTGCATTGAGATCAATTATATGAACCATCTTCTCACCTTCCATTGCTTCGATTATAGCTTGGTTGGTAAGAACAAAGGCCACCTTCAAAAAGGGGAACATCTCAAAAAACAGTTTCCGAACAAGGACTTCTTCTGAAACCAAAGTTATCTTTGTGGAATTGAGGGCCTTGTGGAGACCAGGCCAGCCTTTCAGGATTCTGTCAGCAAGTGCCTCAGTAAAATATGCAGCCATTCGCTGCATAGTATCACCATCAGGAGAAGCAAGTTGGGATATTTGCTCAAGGGAAATATTTGCATTTTCAAGGCTACCAGTAGCTACATGATTAGCACAAGTGAGCAATAAATGGATCAAATATAAACCCCTTTCTTCAGATTTTAACTCTCTAAGCCATGGATATGGTGATCCTAACTTAGGCGAGAGTGACATCATGGAAAAAACTTGGAGAGGTGATGATATTACAGAAGATGATTCGTCTTGGATCATTGGCACTGTTAAAAGAAAAAGCCTAGAAGATTTTGAATATAAGAAGCAAAACTAGATTCTAATTGCCAAAAGACAATGAATGCTAATAAAAGTCATGGTCTTTTTGTGAAGAGAAAATATCAAAATTTTATGCAAGATTCAAAATCGCATGACTGAAAGTAACAGAGGATAGTTGACATTCATGAGATTTGACCAAAATGGAACCAGATTCATAGTATTTTGATGCCAAAAGAACCAGAATTTTTATAACAAATGCATCAGACCAAATATCCAAAGAGAAAAGATTAACAAGTCTAACAAATGGAAGGGTTAGGATCTAACCGAAAGAGTAACACAACCCAATTGTATTTTGGAAAACACAATGAAAGATTAATTCTTTCAAAAGACAAGTTCATGAAGTAATGGAAATCCCATTAATTCATACCAAATTCAAAAGGAAAAAAAAATGCAACACTTACAGAAGAGGAAAAAAGACAAAAATAATGCCAATAGAAGAGCTTAGTAATAACAGGAGAAGAAGGGTTGAGCCAAATCCTGGCTGGGTTTTGCAATTGATCAAGAACCCAAATGAAAGCACATAAAAGTTCCCAAGATTTGAATCCGTTGAAGCTCACAAAGCCATTTCTTATTCTGGGTTTATGAAAAATAAGACAGTCAAAAATGGGTTCAAACCCTCAATTAAAAGCTCTGAGGTTTGGAAGGGAGGGGGGAGGCATTGCTTTGCTCATGGCAACGATATCGACAATGCGTGAAGGAAGGTTTTGTCGGTTTATGATTTGTTGTCGTTTCCTCTTTCAGTGGAATATGGAAATCTATGAGAAGTTTGAGCTTTTTCTTTTCCTCTGAGCTTTTGTCTTTACTTTCCTTCCATAGCTTCCTCTTTATTTCTCCCTCTAAAAACAAAAGAAAGCGGCCAACTTTTTATTGTTTTTGTCCTTTCATTAGGTGGACAGGGAATCCAGGGCTGGCCTCTCAAAAGCCCTCTACTCTTTCCTTTTGTATATTCCCAAAGGTCAGATGATGCCAACCACGCCCTGACAATGACCAACAACGCCCCTCAGTTTTGTTTCCTAATGGGGCAAGTGTGGGAATTGCAAGAAAACTCTCCAAAATGCTTCCAAAACTTGGTTTTGTTTTGTTTGCTTTTCGAACCCAAAGACCATGCAATTGTTTTTATCTTCTTATATTAAGACCAAGCGACAAGTTAAGAAAACATCCAAATTTTAAACTAGATAGTATACTTATCAGTAGTAAAAAATATAATGATATATTTTTTATCCGATAATATAAATATATATAAAATTTGGATTTAACGTAAAAAATTTTTTAATAATGTAATGAATAAAAATATCATGTTTACATAATTGAACACATGGTCTAATTATATAATTAATCGGAATCAAGAATTGAGTCATTGAATCAAGCGGTTTGATCATCAAGCGGTTTGATCATCAAGCTGATTTGAGTTTGATAAGTATGGTTGAAATAATAATTTGTATTCATTTATTAATTCATTAGTTTTTTATTTAATTACGCAACTAGTAAGTTTATATATCTTCTTATAGAGTTTTAATGTCATATTTGATGTTTAGGATGATAAATAAGATATGATGATAATCGTTGTATATTATATTTAATTTGTATGTAAAAAAAAAAAAAGATAGAATTGTAAGAATGATTAATCATCTTCCTTGTATAAAATGATTCAATCCTTTCAAAGTAGAGAAAATTATTTTTAATTTATGAATTGAACTTACATATATTATTATACCCTTGAAAATCACATTAATAATTTAAATTATATAAATTTTGAAACAAGATAATTTTGACCAAAAATAAATTATTATATCCTAATTTTTGCGTACATTAAATATAAGATAGTATGACATTATTTAATTTATTATTAATCATAATATTATCTTATCATATCATATCATAATCTTATACACCAAGTGCACCCTAAGAATACTATCTTATAAAAAAATAATTCATGTTCTATATCAGAATATATATATATATATATTTCATTCAAATTATGTCATAAAATAATATTTTTGAAAAATTAGCTTAGTTTCACCGAAAAATTAATGTACATTACTAATTTAAACATTCATCATTTAATGATCTTGTTAAGATCATGATAGCTCCAATACTAATCGATAGACTAAAAACCCAAAATCAAGTCAACATTCATTCAGACAAGTGAAAACGAAATCAAATAATAAATCATGCACATAAGATATAACAATTTAATGTGATTCAATACTTTATTTACCTACCTCCACGAATGAGAGAAAAAATTAACTAGTTGTAAAAAATTACAAACATATGATCTCAATCCCAAACTGATCTCTGACTATCCTTTATTGATCTGTAACATCAATATCTTGTTGTTTTAGCAGATTTGTTGATAGAAGACTTTGGAAAGCTATTTTTTTAAAATTTTGGAATTCTTTAGCCTGTTTGACTAAGAACTCAGCTAAGTTGGTCATCCCTTTTCGAAAACTGATTTTGTTTTCTGAGAGATGGGATTTCCATACTTTGTTTAACAAATTATAGACTTGTGGTTCAAGTCTAGGATTGTAAAAATCTTTTATCTCTGGGTTAGAGAATTTTGTTCATTCCAACAGTTGTTCTGTGGAAGAAACTATTTGAGAATAACTTATAGGTGTCCAGTCGTTTGGATCTTGAGCAAATTGTGAGTATTCTGGTTGAATCCTCATGAAAAGGGGTCGATAAAGAGGTTGTTGGTATAGATATAATCCTTGGTTAGGATTATTGTAAAAGTTAAATCCTTGGTTAGGATTTGGAGAGATCAAGGGCCGTGGAGAAGAAAGAGTAGAATAAGAGGAAGAAGAAGAGGACTTTTTACTTGTTTTCTTCTTTACGGTTCTTCATTCACTTGTATCATGGATTGGGTGTTTTTCTCGATCCATGGGGTCGACTCAGGAAGTCTGCAAGGAGGTTTTTGTCTCCGTTGATGAATTCTACCTGAAAGTGATAAGAACAAAGAAAATTGTACCACCTAATTCACTTGGGATTATCAGAAAGCTTTCTATTTTGGAGAAAATTTTTGACTGCTTGGTTATCTGTTCGAATAACAAAGATCTCCAAGGCTAAATAGATGTGGAATTGTTGTACACCATTTTTTATGGCTAATAATTATTTTTCAAATATAATATAATTTATTTTGTTCGGTTTGAACTTACCGAAATTGTAGCCACAAATCAATTCATCTTTTTGATGTAGATTTTTAGCTTTTAAGACACATCCCCAATGTTCATCACTGGCATCTGTCAGTCCCTTTTAGTCTTATGAAATATTCTTATATCAAATATTCAAATACACACACCCATATGAACCTTTTCAATCTCTTCTAGTCTTATGGAAAGTATATCTCATAAAAAATTTATAACTTTTTTACATCTTTTTTCATAAATCCTATAAAGACTATCACTACTTCTAAACATACCAACATATTTATCAAGAATCTATTTACTTTTAAAATTCTTCTTTTACAAGTATTCTTCTCTATTAAGTAATATCTAACCACTTTTCAAAAAATCTCAATTAAATCTCTTATGAGATTTCATTCACTATTCATAATAATCTTCATCTTAACTCAAATTTCATTAAATTATTATTCTTCACGCTTGGTTGCACTCGTAATAGAATTATCACAATCATCTTTTCTTGTATGTTTTAATCATTTCATGCAATTCAATCTCTCAACATATAAACTCAAACTCCTCTATTAAATCAAGATTTTTCAGGTTTGCCTCTTTTCGCGTCTTGAATATTTGGTCTGATACATATTGTTAAGATCGAGATAGCCCAATACTAGTTAATAGGATAAAAGCCCCAAATCAATTTGACATTCATCCAAGTAAACAGAAGTGAAATCAAACCATAAATCATTCACACAAAAGATAACAATTTATATTCACCATTTTATTTGTCTACCTCCATGGATAAAAAAAAGACCCATTAGTGATAAAAAATTATAAACATACAATCTTAATTCTTAACGATCCCTAATTGATCTCTAATGATCCTAAGCTAATCTCTAATGATTTTAATATGATCTTTATCCCATTTATCATAAACATACAATCTTAATTATTAACGATCCCTAATTGAACTCTAATGGTCCTAAACTAATCTCTAATGATTTTAATATGATCTTTATCCCAAATTGATTTCTAGTGATCCCAATTCAAATATTCACACACATACTCATGTGAATCTTTTCAGTTTCTTATAGTCAACTCAAAAATATAATAATCATAAATCAATTGACTCTTTCAGTTTTTTTAAGTCTTATGGAGTATTTTCATATCAAACATTTAAACATACACACTCATATGAACTCTCTCAACCTTCTCTAGTCCTATGGGATGTGTATCCCATAAAAATTCTTAAATCTTTTTCTCATTCTTAGCGCTTTAAAAACTTTTATTATTTATAAATTTACTAACTTGCCTATTAAATTTTTTTTCTCATAAAACTCTTTTTTTGCATGTGTTTTCTTCATAAACAATATCTAGCAAATCTCAAAAAAGTTTCAATCAAATTTTTATTAAAATTGTGTCACCATTCCTAACAAATCTAATATAAAATATAATAAATAATTAGATTTTACAATAATATAATTATATAACATGATTTGGTTGAAAAGGTTATATCTTATGAAATAACTTCAAAAATAATTTTTTGTATCATCAATATACTAAAATAATTTACTTTCTAATTTCTTTTGATATATTATTGTACTTTATGTAAATTGCAATCAAGTATATACATATGTATTAAGTCAATAATCGTGTAATTTATTTGATTTATTATAAAATATTAAAATTTAATATGATAACCTCAAATACAAAAAAATAAATGTTCATATATAATAGATTGCCTTAGGAGATTGAACAATAATATATATAAATAAGAGATTCACTCGTATTAATATAATTCTTACATTTTTTGAATTATTGGTTAAAAATTATTAAATTCAAAAATATTATTTTAATTCGAATAAATCATAAATTTAATTTTGATTTAAATTTTTTTAAGTAATTATA